TATATATATATATATATATATATATATATATATATATATATATATATCTTTGTTTCTTGTCAAACAACAACAAATATGATGAAGTAAGTGTTATTTTATCAAAAGAATATATCATTTTTTCATTAAATAACTTACTTATTTCTTGTTAGATTTTTATTAAAAAAATTCAAAAGTCGATATTAAGTTGCAAAAATGATGTTATCCGTAGACGTGCCGATTAGGTTCGAATCAGATCCTTTCAAAACATATATAGTAAGTGATATAAATCTCATTTTTGATTTAGCGAAACAAAATAAGCCTCCCATTTAATTTTAGAAATAACAAAAATCTCCTTGTTACATTATTATTGTATTATACAAACCTTCTTGTCGTGAGTCTCTATCATCATGATCGTCAATAGCAACAACTTCTATGTCCAACTTTACCCTTCTATTATTTTCATATGTAATTAAAAATTATAGGTCAAATAATAAAGGAAAGGAGGGCATTTTAATCAAATTTTGTGATATTTAATACCGTTAAATCTTTATCATCAAATGGGGATTAATTGTGATATTTGTTAAATTAGGTGGATGTTTGAATAATAATAAGGTGGATGCTTTATTAAATTGACCCCTTTTATAGTAAGTTATTTATTTTTTATTACACCACATGTCTATATAATAAGGCAGTCATTGTTTGCTTCCTCAGTCAACTTATTATGCTTTCTTCCTTGCAAAACAGTGTGATGAAGAAGTCAAGAAGTTTACCCAATCACATGCCAGCAAGGATCAGCGGCACCAATGAAAGTGTGTTAACCATAATTCTTGTCCGTTTGCCTGTGAAGGCTCTAATCATATTCCGTAGGGTAAGCAAACAATGGTCTTCTCTTATCTCCGATCCATACTTTTGTCACTCTCATACCATATATAGTATTAAAAAGAACCCCAGTTTTCTTTCCCCTTCTGGTTTCTTCATCTATAATTCCTTTTGTAATCAATTCCTTTCTTTTTCTTTATCTAGAAAAAGAAGTAAACCTTGTTTACCTTCGCTTTCATTTCTAGGCCAAAATTGTAAGATTTTACAATCATGCAATGGCCTCTTACTCTGTTGTTTGAACTTTGGAACCTTCTGTGTTTGCAACCCCACAACAGGGAAATTCATGATTCTTCCATCCGCTAAGGTGGACGGTGAATTCTCTTGGATAAGTCCATTTACACTTGCTTTTGATCCTTCTCGATCGCCTAATTATAGAGTTGTTTGTTTCAAGAGGCTTAAGAAAGAATCACCTGAATCAACTGGAAGTTACTACTTTCAGATATTTATATATTTATCTGAGATGCGTATATGGAAATCTAGCAATTCTTTTGAAGTGAACATGTGTCTAGACATGGCTGCGGGAATCTTCTCAAATGGTGTTGTTCATTGGGCTTGCCATGAACAGTACATCCGGTTCGATATGAATGAGGAGAAGGTGATGCTACTGAAATTACCTTTTGTTTATGTATTTAATGAACATTCATGGGATATTGGCTGCTTTTGGGAATGGCGTGACACTATCTATTCAGCTATGAAAAGTGAGTGGAATTTTAGTTTGCATGAGCTGGATCAAGCTACTTTAAAATGGATTCCGCACAAGTATTACCTTGCTTCCTATAGTCTTGCGAAAGCAGTATATCGTGCAGTTACGAAGGAAGGGACAGAGGCACACAAATATGATCGAACAGAGCGCAAGTTCTCTGTAATTGCTTTGGTCAAGGGAGTCAAGGAAAAGGATACTGCAGTATTGATAGTCATATTTGGCAAAGTCATTTCCTATAATTTTGCACGGAGGAAGATTAAAATCATTCTTGACTTGGGATTGCCGAGTGATATTCAAGGAGATTTATGTTGTAATTGCCTTAGTGCTTATCAGTATGTTCAAACTCTGTCTTCTGTTTGACAGTGTAGTTTTTCTTCCATTAGCTACAGTTTGGGTGTTAGCATGAAATCTGCTACTTCTTCCTTTGTGTACTTGCATTTCTAAGAGGAACAACGTCTTCATTTATGTTGAATGATTAAAACTGAACTTTTGCTCCAAATTTTGTAACGAAACAATAAATATTATAGACTAGTAAAAGGAACCCCTCTTGGCTCTATTTGCTCAATTTGGTGCTATTACAATAGGTCTGAATAAATGCAAGATAATGTAGAAGTGCCGCAACCACTGTGAAAACTAACTGTGACTCCATTGTTGATACAGTACTACATTTGCATTTTGCCTATTCCTAGTGCTTGAACAGTAATCTGAATTCATTATGCACATCTGAAGTTAGCCTCTCTTGTAGTGAAGTTCCACTTGCTAAAACCCACAATTTTCTCCTTTTATTTGACGAGTCCTCGTTTTGTCAGACAAATGAAACTAATGATATAATCATCCATTAAATTATTGATAAAATCAACTATGAATATTCAAACTGTGAAATATTATTGTTGGAAATATTACTCCCTCCGTCCCAACTTATGTGATGGCGTTCGAATTTCGAGTGTCAAACGAGTTGTTCTTGGACTGTAATTTCTTATATTTCTTTAAATATTTTGAATTATAACTATCCGTGACTTATGATTTCAAATATGTAAACTTTATTTCGTAAAACTTAAGATTTTATGTTTAAATATATTGTCAAAATTATGAAATTTGAATCTCGTAAAGCAAAATGCATCATATAAATTGGGATATTATTTATTTAGGTTTAGTTCACCTATAAGCCACTTAATTAATCTCCACCTAAACCCTAATACTAGTACATATAAATACCATTATGGGTGTTGAAAATATATGTCTTTTCAAAGCAATTGAAATTAAAGCAAAATAGCGACGAAAAGTTCTCACTCCTCTTAAGTGAACGTTAACCGTGATTGACTAACGTTCACCCCCTGCCGGCATGGGTAGGGGACGGCCGAGAAAGACGGAAACCAAGATGAATATATCAGATCTATTGATCAACGATGCTACAAAGAAGACACCGGTGACAACGCCTGTTGTTCAAAACCCAAGAAGTGTATAAGGATGGCCAGCACTCTCGAATCGCAGTGGGGAGTCCAAAATTGGGGAAAATCCGAGCGGTGAACGGATGCAGAAGGATCTGGGGAAAGGAATACAAATCCAACCTAGCTCAGAGGAGCATACTCAAGAGGTGATCGATCAACAAAAAGGGGCACCTGACGGCTCAACGACGATTGGATTTAGGACACAACAAGAGTGGCAATACTACTTAGGCAAATCTATTTGAGCGCAATAGCCTAGCTACAAAAGGTATGGATCTCTGCTACATTGCTCGTCAAATAAGGGATGGGAAGAAAATTGTGAAACTACCTAAAGCTGAAATTGAATAAAAAACAGAGAAGTGGAGGAAGGCACTCATTTGTATGTAGTAGGGCTAAATCCATCAATAGGAGCAGTAGAGAGATTCATTGCTTCCCGGGGACAATTTACTGATAAGCTGAAAGTATATTATCATCATGACGGATACTTCATTGTTTGATTCAATAGCCTTGAAGATAGAGATGTGGTACTCTACTCTGGGCCACAGACTATGAACAGCAAGCCAATCATAATGAAGGCTTGGACCCAGGATTTTGACTTCAATAATGAGGTGCTGAAGACAATGTCTATATGGGTAAAGTTCCCCAAGATACCTCTAAATTGTTGAGGGATTGGGGCTCTTAGCAGAATCAGCAGTGGGCTAGGACTACCATTATATGCCGATGACTGTACCACAAAGATTGAAAGAATTTTCTACGCAAGAGTCTTAATAGAGATGGATATCACAAAGGAATTACCAACTAATGTACTTGTTCAGGATCCAAATGGAAAGGAATTTGAGCATGTTGTTGAGTATGAATGGAAGCCTCAGTTCTGTAATGTATGCTTGAAGATGGGACACTCATGCCAAAAACAACCTCAACAGATTAAGCAAGCTGACCAAATTGAGAGGCAACATACGTCAAAGAATAAGTATGAGTGGCAGGCCAAAAGGCCTAACCAAAATGCAGGAAGTGTCGTATTAAAAGAATCGACAAATACTCAAACAGAAGTACTTGACCATCAAGATGGTGTGGGGACAAAAAATGGGCAAGATGATGAATGGCAAACTGTGAAAGCGAAATCAGCCGAGAAAAATACTGGAAAGGGTGATGAAGTGCACAAAGAAAATATAAACACAACAAATGGTTTCAAGGCATTGGCGGAAGTGAGCAAAACAGTAATGGAGTCTAGTGAAATGCTAGTCCAAAGAGAAGGGCAGTGTAGTAGCAGTAGTAGAAGTGTTAATAACCAACCGGACCCCTTGCTTCTTAGATGATGATCATTAGCTGGAATATAAGGGGTATGAATAAGATATACAAGCAAAAGGAGTTGAAGGAGTTTTTAAAAGAAAATAAAGTTGCATTAATTGCAATAGTAGAGCATAGAGTTCATGAAAAGAATGTTAATTCAATTATATAGAAAATAGCTCATGCATGGAGTTGGTATGGGAACTATGATGGTAATGGCCGAGGAAGAATTTGGATACTTTGGAACCCCAGAATGGTAAGTTTCAGCCCAGAAAGCTGTAATTAACAACTCATTCATAGAGAGATAAGGTTCTATGCTTGTCACTTGAGCTTTAAATTTACAGTTATTTATGGGCTGCACACAGTTAGAGATAAACAAGAATTATGGGCTGAGCTGAAGGCAATTCATAGCAGGGAGCAAGTACCTTGGGTTGCGATGGGAGACTATAATGTTGTATTAAACATCGACGACAGAATATATGGAAATCCTGTACAAGAAACTGAAGTGAAGGATTTCAGGAAGTTACTAGATGATACTGGTATGGCTGAATTGAAGACTGTGGGTCGGCAATTTATATGGACCAATAACCATATCTATAGCAGGATAGATAGGGCATTGGTAAACGTTGAGTGTCTGCTGAAATTTCCCCAGCTGGATATATAGATTATGGATCCTCATTTCTCAGACCATTCCCCTCTATGCCTGAATGTAGAAGTGAAGTCCAAAAGGAAGCCTATACCCTTTAGGTTATCAAACTATATGGCAGAACATGAAGAGTTCTTAACAGTGCTGAAGGTTGGATGGGCAAAACGTGTTCAAGGAAATCAAATGGAAAGAATCTGGGCAAAGCTGAAGGAAGTAAAGCAGGAGTTAAAGAAACTATTCCCCCATAATAAAAATAGTATTGAGAAAAAGAAAAGACATTGAAGCAACAACCAAGAAATGATGAGGAGCACCAATCAACGGGAAGGATTAATTAACAAGGAAAAAGAGCTGAAGCTAGAGCTGGAAAAGTGGTCTTTGAAAGAGGAAAGCATAATGAAACAAAAATCTAGAAACCAATGGTTGAATCTAGGGAATTCAAACACGTCCTACTTATATGCTTCAGTAGACAATAGAGTAGCACAAAACAACATCAGAAGTCTAATTACTGAGATAGGAGTGTTAGCTCAAACAGAAGAAGAGATCACTACTGAAGTCACTAACTTTTATAAAAAGTTATTGGGAAATGCAGCTAAACAATTGCCTGCAATTCACCCTAGACTCAAGAATGAAGGACCAAAGTTGAACCGGGAGCAACAACTGCAACTGATAGAACCTGTCACTGAGCAAGAAGTATCTAATGCATTGGCAGATATAAATGATCTCAAAGCCCCTTGATGTGATGGTTTAAATGTTATTTTCTACAAGAAAGCTTGGCCTGTGATTGGTAAGGAGGTAACTGAGGCTATCCTAAACTTTTTCAATACAAATCAGATGTATAAGGCAATAAATTTCACCTTAGTCACCCTCATACCCAAATTACTTAACCCATCTACTACCAAACAGTTCAGACTTATCTCTTGTTGCACAGTCATATACAAAATCATCACAAAAATCATGACCAAAAGGCTGCAGAATGTTATGAACCTGTTAATTTATAAGAGTCAGTTTACTTTTGTGCCCGGGAGAGTTATTATTGATAATATTTTGCTTAGTCATGAACTTGTGAAGGGATATAGAAGGAAAGGAATATCACCTAGGTGTATGATAAAGGTGGATATGTAAAAGGCCTATAACTCTGTGGAGTGGCATTTCTTAGAACAAGTGCTAACAAGTATAAATATTCCTGGTATTTTTATGGACTGGGTGATGCAGTGTGTGAGGAATCTGTCATGCTCTATCAATATCAATGGAATACCTAGCCCACTTTTTCTAGCAATATAAAGGCTCAGGCAAGGAGACCCCCTCTCCCCATACTTGTTTGTTCTAGCAATGGAATATCTAAATCGATTGTTGAAGACCTTGAAGTATAATCCAGATTTTAATTTTCACCCTAAATGTGATAAAATGGGAATTGTCCAACTGAGTTTTACAGATGATCTACTGTTGTTCTGTTGAGGAGATGTGGTATCTGTTCAACTGTTGAATCAATGCTTCAAAGAGTTTTCAAAGGCTTCTGGACTGGTGGCTAATAATGACAAAAGTTCCATCTATTTTGGTGGGGTGACAAATGATATACAACAGGAGATCATAGAGACCTTGAGGTTTGTGAAAGGAGTACTGCCAATAAAGTACCTAGGGGTTCCCTTAAGTATAAAAAAGCTAACAATTGTACAATGTTACCCCCTGTTGGAGAAGATGATTGGTAGGATCACTAGCTGGACATCAAGATTCTTGTCATATGCTGGTTGACATCAACTGATCAAAACTGTCCCGTTCTCTATCCAAACATTCTGGTCTCAGATCTTTCTGTTGCCTAAGAAGATTGTGAGTCTGGTTGAGGCTGCTTGTAGGAAGTTCTTGTGGAATTGAGGCATTACTCTGACCAATAAGGCCTTGCTTGCATGGAGTAGAGTGTGCTACCCAAAATCAGCAGGATGATTCAATGTGTTAGATATTCATGTGTGGAACAAAGCTACAATTTG